GTTAACATTATAACCGTCGCACATAATAGTTAAAGATCATCATTAATCTTTGTCACTGACATATTGATTTTTATATGTCGAGGATAAAAAATTGATCTCCACGTTAATAGTGTCAAATAAGAGCTACAAAGTGCATACAATTTTTTTGTATAATTAAATTATATGTTTATTTACCTAATTATTGTTGGGTGGTCACTTTCTTGAAAATAAAGAAAAATATTTCAAACAAAATAAACGTTTGAACGTATCACTCTCCTGTGGACTTTTAATGCATACCGTGAAATCTACTCGTATAATTTTTTTATTTTCAAAATAAAGAAGGGAAGATTGGAAGAAAACTTATTAAAATATGAAAATTAAAATTAACTTTTTTAATAAATAAACTTTCTAGGGATTACGAAATCTGTTTTTTAACTCTTCAAAGATTGAAGGTCGATTATTTCTAGAATTCTTAAGCTACGATTTTTAAAATAATAATTTATTAAAAGTAGTATCAAATTTGATGTGTTTTGCAAATTTGAAATGCTACATATAAAGAGCTACTCTCTCACAAATTAATTCCCACGAGTTCGAGACTAAAGGAGACAGGATAGCCGTGTGCGCATCCGGGCGCTATAGTCCAGTGCCCTTTTAAGTTAAAGGGAAGAAGAGTCGATGGTGAACGCCGCAGAAACCGAAGGGACACCGATATAAATCAACGTCCGGCCGGCACGACGACTTGCTCTAGAACGGAACGGAGTAAACTGAGGAAGAGAGAGACGGTGCAGAGAGACGCGGGCGGCGAGACGTGGAAGTCGAAGTCGCCTCGTGTCTCCCCCCCTCGCTACTTATGCTAATGCCGGCAAATCAATTTATTTATATTTATTTATAGCATTCAAATGTTTCTACCCGGAACGGGGCTGAACGCGCGCGGACGTCGCCGGTTGTCGGCGCGGACCACCCGCGAAAGCGAGCCGATCCCGCTCGCTGCGGGCTACGAGATCCGTGGGGTCCAAGATCGCTCCCTTCTCTCAGACTGATACAGATAGCTGGAGAATGCTGGACGTAGGTCTGGGCAGTCCGCTCGACGCATCACCAGACTTACCAGACGATTCGAAATTTCATGACGCAGATCTCTGGATCTAGCAATCGCCGGCTAGGAAAGAAAGACAAAGATATTTTCACGAAAGTTTTGAATCTTGAACGACCCAGCGAAAATTTGTCGTAACAGTTACGTTTCTTTTTCTCAGAGATATAATTTTTTATAATTTCGCTGGGTACGGACATTGAACCGTATGTTTCATGTGCTAGTACGCTCAAGAGAGAGAGATCGCGCTTGCCTGATAAAAACTTGCTGGCGATTAGAGACAATTTAGACAATTGATTGACAACCAGTTTATTTTCTAATACTGCACAACACAAAATGCCTACGTGCATAACACAAAATAATATATATATATATACGTATATTTTTATATTTCTTCTACTTCTAATATGTTAAGGTACTCTAACTTTAAACTTGAAGAAGTATAATGAGGACGTGTATAATGAAAAAAGTTTTAATTTATGATTTATAATGAGAAAAGTTAGGATTCAAAAAGAGTCACTTTTATTTCTATCGAACAATGTAATTTCACTCCTCTAGTGAATATGCATGACTGTATGCCGTGACACTATATAACGAAGAACATCACATCTGTCGGGTGCAGTTATAACTCGAGTTATACACGTGACGTAATCCCGAAGAACCCGAGTGTACCCGAAGTCCTCAGTAACGTATATATATATATATATATATATGAAAAGACATGATGTCGAGAGAATTTCCTGATATTTGCTTACAATATATGTTATTTTGATTTTTTAAAGCTTTAATACAATACATTCCTCTCAATATTTTATATATCAAACATTAATTTTTTATATCTAATTGTTTGCTGAAATATAATCGAAGTATCGGTAATAAACTTAGATTTACTTATTAATAAGACACCCTTTATAAGCAACTGGGTGGGTCAGTATGCACAATGCGATTAATTGTGATAATTAAACAATTATGGACATAAACGTATAAAATAGTTCTGACTTCGGAAATTTTATTTATTATAAGAAAATTTTTCAATATTTATTTGTGTATATTTAAAAATATTTAATTTTGTCCAATTATTTATTACTTTTTATATTGATAATTCCACAGTCCATCATTTGATAATAATTAATAATAGATTACGTTATATAAATATAAATCAAATATTTCATAGTTAATAAATAAAATATTAAAAAATATCTGTGAGATCCAACTCCTACAAAAAAATCTATCTAAATCTATCTATCTAAATCTAGATAATAATATAAAATTTAATCGATACAATTTATCGTTATAAATGTTATAAGGTTTAGCGAGTTTAATTTGCTCTGATTCAGTTCACTTATTTCTGAGTCACTCGGTATAATCGGAGGGCCAACGCAACGCGCGGCCCAGTTGTGTCAATTATAGGCGTGGACATAGAATACATAAAGAATATTTGAAAGTAAATATTTTTTTGTCGTGAAAAGTTTTCGCAAAGTGAAAAGTTAAGACGCTCATCAAGTTTATTTCGAAATGGCCATTGGAATCCGCTTTTTCTTTCTCATAACAGCATTGCTCTGCGTCCAAGAAGGTATATTAAATCAGACAAATATTTAAGTTTTATTTAATATTTTTACATTAACTTTTAAATATCAAGATTGCAAATATATTGCGCGCATGTATATAACGCGATCGATGTTCCTACAGAGATTTGCGTATAATTACTATAAAATTTTATTTTCCAAACATACTCCTAACCTCCACTTTACAAAAATAAGCACTTTACAAAATAAGTATATTACATATTTAAATAGAATATGTTTGATATATTGTGGATTGCGTGTACTTGCAATTGGGTCTTTTGAATTTTGTCATATTCTTTTAGGCCTTTCAATCAAATGTTGGGTGTGTAGATCAGATTCGGATCCGAAGTGCTCAGATCCGTTTGATAATTCCACAGTGCCTATTACAAACTGTAAGCAGGAACCTGACTTGGAGCACTTACCAGGTGTAAGACCAACGATGTGCCGTAAAATTCGTCAAAAAGGTTGTTCCACATATAGCTAGCATACAAAAATGCAAATTTGTTGTATACAGGTGTTATTTTGTTGCACTCTGTATTTTATATAATTATCGTTTGCAGTTAATGGAGAATGGAGATATTTCCGTAGTTGTGCTTACATGGGCGAGCCAGGGATTGCAGGCGATGAGCGATTTTGTTTAATGCGAACTGGAACGTATAATATATTTATGGAATACTGTACGTGCAATAGCAAAGATGGTTGTAACTCAGCATCCTATCGATATGTAAATTGGCTTCTCTTATTAATCGGCCTAATAACAACTGTTCGATACATATTCGTCGTTTGAAAAAAATTTAGCCAAAGATTCTTAACAGATCTATTCACTGGATAGTGTAGATTTCAGTAATTACAGTTCAAGATTCACTTGTACTTACTCAATATTCTTCTTATTTTATACATCGTCAGGAAAGACGCAAACTCCAGCAATCAAATATATATAGATATCGTAGTTTTACACAATTCAATTTTACAATTTTTATAATTTTTTTATGTAATATTCAAGTGCCTTTTTATATCTATCTTTAAGTATCATTTGATGGAAATTTTTAATATTTATAAAAAGAAATAACTTCCAGTAAGTCAGTAATTTACCCTGGCTTTTATGCTAAATTTTATCAATAAATTACATATTTTATAGAAATATATTTTTACTACTATATAAAAGAATGTACTATATATTTACTATATATTTGTACTATTTTCTCCATTTTAATATTATTATAGTACAAAATTATGAATCTCTTACTAATATTGAATTAGTTGATTATAACTCTAGATAATAAGAATAAGACTGCTAAAACCGTCCAGATTAATCATACAATCAATTTAGTTTTAACGCGACATTTTGCTGCCTTATTACTTTTGTACATACTTTTTTTTAGTAATATTTACACTGGTATTGCCATACAACATAAACAAGGTATGATTTGTAACATTGTATCAGCGATGTATTTTATTCATATAAAGCACAATATCATTATGCTCAAACGTTATTATAAAATTGTTAGACGATTGCAGAAAGTGTGTAGAAAATAAAATAATTTCTAAATCGAAAACTACATATTGTCTTGACAAGCATAAAATTTGAAAAAGTTATTGAGAAGAGTATATGAAAAGTATTTTTTATTCGTTATAGGAAAAAACAGCGAAATTGTGGATAATATAAGATGTATTTATAAATAAAATTTTTCTTTCACATACAATGCAGAAGTAAATAAAAATATTATCTTAAACGAAATGTATGTGTACTTTTTGGTGTCAGCAGTTACAAACATACAAATATTCCTTAAAATAGCGTCTAAATATACATTATTAAAACAATTATGTTAATAAAAATATGTTAATTGATATTGTACAATATAACTACTTTGAAATTTTTTGAACTATCTTTTTGTGGCATTCTTATTTGAGCTGGTGTAATAATATTGAAAATATTAATACTAATTAATTAATATTTAATCTTCAAAAAGATATAATGCAAATATACAACGATTGCGATTTTTGTAGCATTTTATACATAATTGATATAAAATATTTTTTACTAATAACGTATAAATATAATTGATAGAAAAAAATATTTCGATGTATCACAATTGGAAATAGTGTTTTGCTAATGTTAACTCGAAATATCAAGTCGTTACTTGCTCCGTGTCTAGTTAGTGTTATAATAAAAATGAGCATTTAACATACATAGAAAACTAGTTAAAATTATCATTATTAAAGATCATAAACGATACGTTTTTGTAAGCGACTATATATATGTAATTCATATAAAAATTATATTATCTGTTGAAACAAAATATCACTTAATATTAAAGTTACATGGCGAGCTTATTCTCGTGAGCTTATGAAATAAAATATGATATGTATTTGTTATAATTATCCATTTTAACTACATATATATGCTTAGTTCTTACTTTACGGACGGTTACATTACATCGGATTATGGTTAGAAAGAGCTCTTTCCTTCGTAAAATCAAGGACGGTTAAAGTTGGCAAAAGTTTTGTATATACAGAATATATGCAATCGAAAATTACAACTAAATTAATTTAAAACCAATTTTCTTTTATGAAATCACGTAATTTTTTCCTAAAATCAACAGTAAATCGTAGACATCTGTGTGTGCAGCAAGAAAGATTCACGTAAACGTGTGCACTCGTATATGTTTCTATGATATTCTTTGGAATAGCCTTATCGATCGGTGTCGTAAATATGTATAGCGTACTCGCGAATAGTGATCTCATTTTCGTTGTCTCTAGATAGCTAACAGGAAAGTACGTCGTACATTTAACGGCTGTAGTTTTCGTAATGTTGAATAAGTTACCGATTCCTCGTGTGTGTTTTATTTTTATTCAAATGCTTGCCACTTCGTTATCTGTTGCCCCGGTTTCGCTAAAGCTTGCTTCCATTGTTCGCCATAAGCTCCACCAACATCAGGTCCGATCACAAAGTGACCCACAGGAGTTTTCTTGCCTAAATAATTGCATAATAAGAAGAATAGTACGATTACATACTGATATTTTATAAAGGTGAAATTTTTGTTGCTTACCCATTTTATTCTTCGAGACAAACTTTATAACGAAGCTCACGTCATTGAGCGCTCCTTTGTACGGATTGTCGGCGACAACTCTCGCCGTCTCAGGTGAGAATTTCATGGACACCGTTGGTGTAAATCGATCGCTCTTCCAAAAGTGTGTTATTCGACCGCTGTCGACAACCGACATCTTCAGATACATTTGTCCTTTTAAACCTTCATGCTCATGCATCGTCTGAAGCGAACATCTCAGACGATTTAGAGACAATATCAATTGCCCGCCACTATCTTCATCTTTCTCGCCTTTCGATAGACATAAAGACAATTCGACTTGGCCTTTTTTGTTTTCTTTCTGAAAGAAATTATTATATCGTGTATATTTAAATAGTAAAATATTAAATAAAGAATATAGCGGTTTACATCATTAAAAAAATTTCAATATTTTTAGAAAATAAACGCGCTCCTATATTTTATTTATTAATATATACAAAATGATACCTATTTCTAAAGAATTGTAAAAATGAAGAAGAAATATAGTAGATGTAACTTTAATAATCAAGATTTGATAGTGGAAAATAAGATTTATCTTTGAGAAAATCTCTTTGTTTAATGTATGCTTGCGCAGTTATACTAATTGCAAGTATGTGTGTATATTATTATATTAATTTTACATGAATATCTCGCAAACAATTGTATTCGATTCGTCTTCATTTGGAAATGAACTGTGATTAACTGTGATTTTGCGATCACAATTGTTGAGTAGTAGATACTTACTCTTTCCTCGGCACCTGAGATACCACTGGCGATCGGTCGTAATGGTTTCCATAGATCTCCTGTAGATACGTCACTGGTATGTTTCGATTTTGGTGGTTTGCAAACAAAGTTCTTTGGATCAAGTGGAATTGTCGTCGCGCCAACAGTACGTCTCTTGTCGTAGGCTCTTCTCTCTGTAGCTGTAGATTCTGCGAGCTTGTCGGAATTTTTGCCAAAGAACTGGCTGAGAAGTTTATTTTTGGTAGATTCCTGATTATCGGAAGAAGTACTTTGACCTTCCTTCTTTTTGCCACCTTTCTTTGGTGCTTCTTTAGTAGGCGACGTTTTCTCTGATTCTTTCTTTTCAGTTGCTATCAAAGGTTTGTCCTCAAGAATTGCGTAAAGAGTCGCGACGATAAATCTAGATCCATTAATTTCCTCTTCCACAACTTTTGATTTGCCAAACTTTTGCTTGGTTTCTTTGCGCAAGGGAAAAACGAATTCTTCATTCCACTGTGGCCAGGATTCATTCCTTGACGTGGTTTCGAACTTATCTTTTCCAGGAATCAACTTCACCTAAAATATTCAGACTCTCAGTTTTTTTTCTAATAATAAACTTAGACATTTATGATTTATTGTACAAACTTTGCAGTGAAAATATAAGAATTAGACGAGAATAAAAAATTAGACAAGTGTAGTAAATGTAAAGAAATTAATATTTTTTTTATATCTGTTGTGTGATGAGAATAATTTTCACTATTACGATTTATTGTACAAGTTTTAAAGTAGAAATATATGAGAATTAAATGGGAAAAAAATCAGAGAAATTTAGAAGAATTAATATATATTTTTATTTGTGTTTTGTGTGTGAGAGACGACGATAAATTTTCTAAAGAATTCACTTACGAAATATGCACTTTTAGTTAATTTATATATTTTATTAATGAATTAATTGGTACATTATACTTTATCTAGCGATAAAGAAAAAATTTATGTTTGAATTACGAATTTTGATTACTGAATTTTTTCTTCAGTAATAATTAATGAAAATAGAAATATTTATGATCGTTACTCTGGTAACAGATATTTCATTAACGATTCGTGTGTACAGCACGTGTTTCCGAAATATATTGAAGCGTTTAATCGATTTTTGTTATATATATAGATGTTTACGTCGTTCTGTTTGCGCGACAATGTCGAAGGAATGTACAGAACATTCTCTCTCGTCAGTCAATAAGATACTACAGTCAATGTCGCACTTCTATAATATGTTACTTATAGCATTACGTAACCATAGATAACATCCAGGAGTGCTGCGAGCATCTCCGACTTAATTCAGGTTCGAGTACGGCAAAGCGTAGCGGAGCGCGATTTTGCAGTTTACACAAAAGTGTTGGCGTCGTTTGATATCTCCGACGTACATTTACCGAGCGACGTAATTAGTTCATTTCATATTTTATTAGTGCAGAAAAAATTAAATTAAATATGTATACAAAAAGATTTAAAAAAGTAAAATCATTGTGTTAAATCTACGGATTTAAACGGATCTCCAATATAATTATACGTTAAACTCTGATTATTAAAGAAGACTCTGTGTAATTGATTAATTATTTGATGTGTTATTCTCTCTCGAATTGTTATATTAATAAATTATTGATCTATAGAATTGAAAATTGCCTCGTTGTTAATCTCTTTGCTTTAAACAGATACGTTCAGTGCTAAATGTGAAATATGAACAGCCATTAACGAGACATACGTTTTTTGTTTGTTCAAATACGATTGATCCACATTCTCGTGTTTACTCTACCTTTACAACATAGCTATTGACTCTGGTGAAGCCGAAGTTCTGTGGCAAGTGTCTGGCACCAAGAACTGTGACGTTTAGTGTCTTGTCGTTTGGCGAGTGCATGATCCTAATGCCGATTTCCGGTTCCAGATTCACCGTACGATCCAACGGCGTAGACACCGTCTTCAGACTGTTGTCGATAAAATTTCTGATCTTTGCCAGCGCCATGTTCGCGCAATTGTCCTCTCGAAATTACGGCTTCCCAATTACGGCTTATCGGCAAATGAGTAAATCGTTTAGATAACGGTTGATCACCACAGGCTCGGTGGCGTTGTTCGCGAACGCTGCAAAATTCTATCGTGAGTTATGAACACTATATAAACTAGCGCACGCTAAAGGTGTGCTATTAATACGTGCATGTACCTATATAATACGGCGTCATACTTGCTCGTGCTTGTCTAGAGACATGATTTTCGAAATATCGCAAGATTATTTGACGTGACGACAAGAATTTCCGTAGACTTATTCGATAACGAGAACATCTTCTATTTCATTGTTATCATTTTGAAGATAATAATGATGATTATTAAAACGTTGATGTGATAATCCTTTACGTCAACGTTTTATCAGCTGCATTTATTATTTTTTATTTATAGAAAAGAAACTTAAAGAAATAATTCCTAAAATTATTCCTTAAGAAAAAATTATTTTATTTATAAAGTAATAAAAGAAGATCTCAATTCTTTTTTGATACCGATTATATGTTGCGCGATGTAACATTTTTTTTGGTATTTTATAATAGAGAGTAAATAGTTTTACACACAAATGCAAAATATTTATTTATTATCAAAAATCATGCTCGTAAAATATTTATTACTGGAAAAGCATTAAAATAACATTGTGCTCCAGTTGATATTCTTTGACTTTCGATTGTAAAATATAATCGTAAATTCTTGCGATCGTAAAGCAACATGCTTTCTCTCCTCATAACACAATACCTTTTATCATTCACAACAGGTGATTATCAGCTGTTCTGAATCGGTAATGGTATGGCGGTCCGGTCCTTTTGCTCTCGGCAATAAAGCCGCGTACATGCAAGAGCAGGATGTTCGTTTTCAGAAACGAAGAAACTAACTAACGCGATCGAACTTTCTCCATGAGAAAGAAAAAAAAGCTTCGTTCCATCGTGACAACACCGGTACTGTCGATCGATCCGGAGCGATCGCGCGACCCGCTATAGCAACCGCGGAATGTCGCGTGGAAAATCGCATTTAACGCCAAGATCCGATGGCACCGACCTCCATTATCACGTTATTAACTAAGGAGAATTGACGAGGTAAATAGGATAGAGACGCCTGACATCTCCCACCTTCTTAATAGAGACTTTAATGCTCGGTGTCATCCAACAACACAAGAGTAGAATAAAACAAAGGCAGTAACATTCAATCTTCTTACAATCCTTCAATATCGTTTCATCTACACATTGAATAAAATATCACTTTAAGTACATTACTTGAATCTTATTATTTTAAGATTTTTAGAGCATATTTTTTGCGTTGAAGGAACAACAGAAATATTTTTATTTTGTTTATTTAATTTCTTTGATCAATTAATCGCCGAGCTGCAATTTTTTCTGCTATCATTGGAAACAACCGAAAATAATTCGTTATATTATATCCTATATAATTCGATACGAGCGTGCGCGATTTCGAATTACGAGAAGAATTACAATGCACTAACTCGGATGACATGCGTCAGGTAATATTGAAGTTATTTGTAAACCAACGACGATTCGTAAAATTGCGCAACCCCGCGAGAAACCAAACCAAACTTGCACGTACCATAATCGCGATTCGGAGCAAATTGCTGCTGCAGCTGTTTTCAGCAACGATCGAGATCTCGAGCGAACAGGAAGAGGATCGTTGGTTGACCGGCGAGCAGTTAACCGAGTCTGTGGCAGGTCTGTGACTGGTGAGGGATCCTCGGCGCGGTCTTGTCGTCGACGACCAATGGTGTCAGACACGCGATGCCATGGTCACACCGAAAGCGATCGAACGCGTACACGCACCACCGCCTCTGCCGATCGCCAGGAGGAATTCACCGAGGGCTTTCACCGCACACGCCGTCGTCCGTAATCGCGTTCGCAGCGCAATCCACTGCGCATCACAACGTACCGAGACGCGTTCAAGCAGTCATCGGCAACCGAGACAATGAGATATGTGGGACCCCATGAATGGCTGCTCCGTAGGCGATTGCGCGCGTGCGATCGTTGTTGTAGCGTGACAGTTGTTGGAACGTCGGCTCCGTTTGCGCGCGACGCGCCGCCGTGGTATGTAGCTTGCTTTCGCGTGGGTTTCCTTTATAAGAGACCAGCGTAGCCGGTTTACAGTGGCGGATTGTAACAAGGCATCTTCGAATGGGCACCGGTTGGACAGAAATTTATTCAACAACTAACGATGCGCGCAGAAAGAAATATATCCTCTCGCGTCTATCGTGTATGAATTATAACGTGTACCCAATTGTTTAAAAATATTTTTTGCTTATTTTTTTTCGTACAAGATATATATAATTATATTATATTATATAATTTTTAATATCACTCTGCTTAACATATTTAATGTTAAACAATTAAATTTCTCATAAATACGTCAGATAATTAATTCTTAAATAAAAGTTCATCTTAACTTTTAAATCTTTATGTAAAGGAAGCTCCGAAGGGCATCAAAGATACGCAACTACGGTACTATCGTAAAAGTAGCCGTTGTCGTTAAAGTAGGGGATTTACTTGTACTCGCTATCGTATACCGTCTCTAGGTTGCAGAGCTGTGGTTGTAGAATGACGCCTGTTGCGCTCACAAGGTCGCACATTCACATTATACGTTGATGTGCATGTACAGGTGATGTGTGAATGTGCAGGTACGTGAATGTACACGAGTCTCTGCGTGAGGAAGCACAACCACATGAATGAGAGTCTGAGGGTAACGAAAACAGGACCGTAAATAGCAATAAATTCTCCTCATCCAAAATAGGAAAAGTATAAGTAAAGAATAAAAATATGTATAAAGAATAAAGAATATTTTCGATAGAAGATTTTTCAGCATTAGAGTTGATGTAACATTCTAATAAATACGACGTAGACAAAGGTACGTCACATTATTCTTTTTGTAAAAAATAGAAAATTTATGGAGGAACGTAAGAATTTAGGAGATAACGTATCGAGACGATGTTCGCGGCAATAAGCAAACAAAAAGATTGCTATGAATTGGTGATGAAGAACTGATACACCGAAGCGACTTAAAACGTGCATAAGAATGATAACGATAGATCGATGAATTGCGGAAGATGCTACGTAACATAAATTTATATATCTTGATGCGTAGAAGAAACTAATTATTATGTCACACGATGATCTTGTGCAGGTAGCTTGAAAGAATGCGGTAGAGAATATTGCGTTGCATAAAAAATGAATCGCGGCAGCTGCATTAGAATACGATGCGTCTAATATGTTGCTGTTAAAAGTTGCATTCGGCAAAGCAAATCATTAAATTATTTAAATATACGATCTATTTTGTTGATTATCTTCAAATGTTTATATTAAGACTTATCGTAGTTCGATCTTTGGATCTTTTATTTCAATATGAGAGATAATACTGTGGAAATATAAAGCTTCTACAAACACTGCTTGCTTACAATTTTTCTAATTTATATTTCTCTTTTTTACATAATGAGGGCTTGCAATAGACTTTCGCGAGAACAAATACATTTGCGATTGCATTATTTCAAACGCAACAGTATTTAAATACGCGTTCCGGACGATGCTCTGCACGTATCTAATTGTGTTGATCGCACGTGATGATATGCAAGGATGATTCTGTCAGATATTGTGGCCTTCAAAGTTAAGTAATGTTTGTAACTGTGATTATATTAAACACAAACTACATCTATTGGAAGTGAATTCAATTTGTTATGCTATCGTTTCTTCAAAAGAAACTCTTTTGCACACGTTCGGATAATTTATCATTTAAAAAGATAAATTCTACAATATAATTCTGTAGGACATTAATTATAAAGTAGAAATAAAGTAGAAATGAAAAATAACGGTTACCTAGTGTCAATAATTTAAGTTACTTGTAAGGTGACAGAAACTGATGTTTTCTGCAGAAGTCAAGTTCGAGACGAGAGGGTTGAAAGTAGCTGCTTACACCCTACGATAGATGGCAATAATAATGGCGACGAACCCCTCCTTTTTGCCAAACAACATCTACAGTTAACGAACAGCTGTTCAGCACCGCCATGGCGCACGCGACGTCGCGACGTCAAAAACACTTCGAACAATTTCGATTTATTCATGCTGAAAAAATCTTTCCGCGTCGCGACACAATTTATCTGGTGATAAACTTTCGATCGTAGATCGATATTCCGAGATAGTGTTTCGAATTGTGCCAGTTGAATATTTGCGAGTGATGTGGCTGACATTTCGGAGATATTAAAGTGCGAATTTTGATCCTTAACAGGTAGGAGAATTTGTTTTTTATTTACTTCCTAATGTTTTTATGTTTTGGATAGTTGTTTATGCGTTGCATAATTTCTAACGAGTTACGTAACGAACAGAGTGAAATATAATCGGCAGATCAGACAGAGATATCATATACAAAGATATATAATAATATAACAAAAGACATTAAATAAATTTTAAAAAAATTTCATAAACAAATTTTAAATAATTTTTATTATAGATGCGATATATTTTTGTTACATTTATTATATAACATTATTTAAATAAATAGGACATATTAGGTTTAAAAGAAAATAATTTATTGGATAAAATATGTCTAAAATTTCTTGATTGTTTTATTAAAAGAATATTATTTTAAGAAATACGAAAAAACTATTTATGTATATATCAATATATTGTTTTATTTTACATGTACGTAGATTATGTGTTCTTTAAAATTAAATGTATTTCTGTAAAATTCGAGATACCTTATCAAAGTGTTTGTTATAAAATACTTAATAACTTGATCGTGAGATGGCACCACGTATATTTCAATTTGGCAAAATGCGAAATAAATTAATTTTTATTCTACAAATTATTATATTGCTCAATTGGTATACTCAAAAAATACTCCGATGCTTATTATTTTTATATTAATATTTATTAATCATATTAATATCTATTAATCATATTTAAAAAAAATAATATATACATCCCAAACAACAAAAAATCTAAAATCGAGACATAAAATGTCTTTTTAAAAATGTCATTAAAACGTCTTTTAAGCAGTCTTTCAAATGTCTTATGTCTCATTTTTGGATATGCATGTTGCCTGGAATTGTTGAGATTATTTTTTGTGAAATTGATCAAAGAAATTAACAACGATGATTTGAAACAGAAAGAAAATTCTATCACGTATGTTTATACGTTTACATAAATATTTGTATAAATATTTATATATTTTTGACATGCATACGTGCTTGTAATATTTACGCAACGCGTAGGAAAACTTGAATATATTTTCCAAGTGTTAAAATGAAATTCAGAACGTATGGGTAAATGTTTCCGTACTACCATGTGTCACGTTTTTCTTCCTTAGTTATAAAATAATTTTAAGTGATTTATTTCAAGATGCTAATATAATTTGCGTACATGTGACAAAGAGCAATAGGGATATAATCCTTTTTTCACAGAGGAAAGGCAACACATACGATCCGGAAAATCATACACTCTGTTTTCAGTTACACGTGTTCTTATTCAAGTCACGTTCCGACGACAAGGGTAATAGCCTCGAACTTTGTCTTCGTCGGATCAGCTTAACTTCCGGTAGTAAAATTTCACGAAATTCTAGTGCGGTCTCGGCGAAATATGTTTTCTGTGGTTCCTGGCATTTTTCAGCTTGATCGATCACTGCCACGTTGTTGTATGTAGGAAGCCGGAGATATAACGGACGTTTTTATGAGTTTCCTAGAACACGGACGTTACATCTCACCAATTAATTTACATTACCATAGCATACACGCAGTTTTACAAAATTAAATTAAAAGAATAATTTATAATTATAGTTAATTATAAATTTTATTTTTACAATTAAATAAATTGAAAATAAAAAATAATTTATAATTATAATTAATTTTAAATTTAAAAAAAAATTAAAGAAATAACTTATTATTAAAAATGAAAGAAATCACTATTTTTGTAATAATATAACCGTGAAACATTCGCCAACATTCATTTGCATTTTAAAAAAATGCATGTGTGTGTGTGTTCCAATTATCTGTATCCATCTGCAGAGTTATCTGATGTTCAATATACGGTGCCACGTCGACACAGTAAGAAAAAAACCGATATGGCGAAATCACATTATGCGCTAGTAATCCGCGCTGCATTACGATGAATGCTGCACGTGTCTGCGGCTTTTCCACGTCACGAGATTCATGAATGCAAATATTCTGCGAATAAAGAGTCACGCGCGCTCTTTACATCATTCACCTTTCTCATTTTTGTTCCGCGTTTCCTTCCACATCACCCTCTTCCAGCCCTTTGTTCTTCCTTACATTATTTCCCCTTTGCTCTTCGCCATAACGGATTGAACTTCAACCTTAGATGCGTATTTCGATACGCCCCATCCATTTTCACGTTTATGATTTAATGAACGCAACTCCGCACCTTTCATCGACAGTAGTCCGCGCTTCTCCCTTCGATAAATCTCCGCCGTACGCCTTATTATAAACTCTTTTGCGTGGTGCAATTTAAAAGTATAGCGTGGTGCAACTTCGTCTCGCGAAGCTTCGTATTAAACTTCCACTTTAAAAGCGGCACTTCGGCAACCGGTGGAAGTATCGCCGAAGTTTAGCTAATCGTTTCTCATCGCGGACGCTGATAAATTATTCAGTTATAACGCTCATCGCCACCGATTGAACAATTTTGAAATATAGGAAAGGGGGAGAGAGAGAGAGAGAGAGAGAGAGAGAGAGAGAGATGTAGCACATTTCTTGACTTTTCGAACATTTCTCGTGATATCGAATTAGTATCGCACTGGCAGTGCGGAGATTAAAGTCAGATTTCGAAGTACTTGGTAATTCCCTGTACGTATTTCTCGCACGTAGTCGCAGCTTGATATATTTAACCTCCCTTTGACCCTGCGCACCCTTTTAAGTGCATCATTACGTATTCTCTTTTGTAACGTCAAGCTTTATGCAGACCACATTCGCAGCACCTTCCTATTCTTGATCATATCGCATATTAACTGGGCAAGGTGATAATTTTATCCCTTATTGTAAATGTTTTCTGTTAGCTAGAGGTATATACAATAAATATATATTTAGCTGACCAATATATTTATATATTTATTACGTTCATTCTTTATTAGAAATGGTCTTTCTGTAGTATTAGTATAAAACAAACCCACATAAGCAGTGGCTGAAGATAGCTAAACCTTCAAGGTGGAACACATGATTAAATTGTTTTTTTATTGATACATTAATTAACTATTGGTATATATTTACAAGAAAGTAACGAATACAACAGTATCAAAATAAATTATTTATAATACTTTCTTTATCTTTGCTAATCTATAATAACTTTCAGCAAATTAATATTGAATTTCACATCACATTTGTTATTTTTTGATGTTGTTAGCATTGTGTACAACCTCGCTAATAGAAATGCACAATGGATCCCTTTTGATCTAAGGAAAGTTTAGAATCAAGCAAATGTAAGAATAATATATACGTCGGCTTTAATTGGTATCTGTTTGTTACATAGGTTTCTCAACGCGATTCTATTAATATCGCTTTTCTCGGTGTATTCACCTTGCTGCTGTATGACACTTTGTCCCAGTTTCGCAGGATGACAGAGAAAGAGGTAGGAAGTTCTGGATGTTGGTAATGAATATATGAATGTGTAAGCGTGTCGCCGTTTGTCACTCGGGAATTGTACGTACATGTATCGTTTGAATATTACGCATATCAAAATTACGTTTTCAATATACTAGCAACATATTTAACAAGTGTAAAAGTATATATATATATGTTTCATGTTACTGTACTCGTTGAAAAAAATTTTCAAGCAATCTCTAATTTTCTCTTTCGATTTGAATAAGCATATTTAATGTCTGTTTCCGCCGTTTTAGTTGCGTCACTTTTAAAGAAACGTAGCGACATTATAATATATACACATAATTAGTTTCTGATTCCTAACAAAAATAATTATGACGAGTTAAAAATCTGGATATTACTAATTTGGATGTTATTAATTCCTTCTACGCTGAAGATACCGAATGGAATATCACAAAATTGCAATTGTACAAATCGCAAACGAACATTGCGTATTATAAATGAATACTCACACAACAGACGTCTGTCCATCAAAATCTGTAATCGTGGCATCATCAATTGTCCGTATTCCTATATAGACAGAGATTTCATTTATCGAGAAAGTTTAAATCAAACCGCCATTACTCACGATGCGGCAACTGTGATGGAGCATTTCGATTCACCAGAAGGCAATTGAAATTCGTTTCGTCACTGGCTTTTACGAGTCGTCCTTTTTTGCGATTTTGCAATTTATAGTAGGTATTTCAAGATTCTGAATCGGCACAATTTGGCGGTACGCGGAAAAATACAATTCGTTTCGTACGTGGCGGAGCTTTTTAGGTCCTCTCTTTTTAATTTTTTATCTATCCTGCGGCAGACTCGACGAATGTAAATTTCTGTCGATTACGATTGGCGCACAAAAATCTATTTCATGAAATACGTTCGTAGTTTGTCAATCATGCAAAACAGCCTGCTTTGAAAAATCGGACCGTAAACAATTACTCTCTGCTCGCGGTCGATCGTATATATAATTTACGGTACCTGTAACGTAAAATCATTTAATTCATCATCGTGAAAAAAATATGTATAGTTCTTACCGTTGGAAGTACTAAATTGCCATGAATTTCGACACTTCGCGCAACTCGAATCCCCAAAACTTCCAGATAAAACGGATTAGTACTGAGCGTAGCCCCGAACGAAGGGGATGTAAATCGATTTCGTCATGCCCTTAAATTCTATTAGCGCCAACTTCGATTGCATTCTTCAAATGGAAATAGGGAACGAGATTTTCGCGACGGAGAAGTGATTTCGACAAAGCAAAGTCGCGCCGGGCGTGTGATTAGATTTTACACTCTCGCTTTATCTTTACGAATGTCGTTGTCTTTGTTGTGTCCTTTAAACGAAGCTCTATACCGGAATAGTGCGGAGCGATATCGGAAAATAAATTTTGCGTAATCGTGTTTCGACTATGGAGGGCACCGTGGCTATTAAACGCAGGAAATTCTTGTCCTGCTCTGGCAGAGAACTAACAGGACCATTTCCCTTTCCAGTTTAAACTGCCATTTGTGAAACCGTCTGCCGCGGCGAACGAGTGTCCCGGTTCCTGTTCTATCGTTGATGATTTATTCAATCGCGCGCTTGTCGATATTTATCGTTCGGCAACCGTTCCGAGGGGACCAGACACTCTCGACGAGATAAATCA